AAGTTATCATTATGTATATTTAAAATGTTCCAATAAAAATAAATTAGAGTGGGAGGGGAAAGGCAGTCAGCTCAGTGCCCACATGTATGTCAGCTGCCATCACAACTGTCAGATGGGTACCTAATGTGAGCCAGGAAAACTAGCCAGCTATGCCTTGCAGAAGCCATGTGTGTCTAGAGAATCTTGTCCCACACCACACTGCCTCCTGGGAATGTGGGTTAGGAGAAACTCAGGTGTCTAACCATCTCCCTACATGGTGACAAGTAGCCAAGTGGGAATTGCCTGGGATCCCATAAAGGCCTCATCCAGAGGAACCCAGGAAAATGACAAGATGAAGGAGCAAATGGTGATCTCTGGCCTGCAGTCCAAATAGAAGTAGTCCAAAAGATATGGACACGGAAGAAAGCTGAAGTTGCACACCTGAAATTTCTGGGGTGATGGCATGTGAAGTAAAGAAACTATTTTATGAAGCTGCAAAAGAAATCAGATCAGAAATAATATCCCGGACTGGAGATTTAGCTCAGCCGCGTAAGCGCCTGCCTTGCAAGCAGGCAGCCGTGAGTTCAATCCCTGGTACCGATAAAAAGGAAAAAGACAATAAATAAATAAATAAATAAATAAATAAATAAATAAATAAATTTTAAAAAAAGAAATAATATCCCTAAGAAGAAACGACAAACATAATAAAAGGGTTGCTGAGAGTATCTAAAGAAAACATAGAAAAAAAAGAGGAGCATAGGAGAATGAGGGAAACCTTGAGTGAACAGTACAGAGAAGAACTGAAATGTGTGAAACAGATTCAAAGAGATATCCAGGAAATTAATATCCCCAATGAAAGCTGGCAAAACTACTGGAAAGAACCTGAAGATATACTACCAGATCTTTAAGACAAGATGCCATCTAGCAATTGTGAATGGAAATATCCCTTAAAAATAGCAAGACCAGGAAACAACAAATCAATGCTACAAGATGACACAAAGAAAAATAATTTAATAAAGAAAGGTTCATTGAGGCATTTATAGGTAAATAAGTGAGACTTAAGACCATACTCATAAATGAAATAAATCAGACTCACATGTATAAATATCATTTTGTCTTCATAGTGTAAGAAACTGAAAGTATAAATAAGATCTAAAGTCTACAGTAGATATTGTGAAAGGGTAAGAAACTGCATAGGGGGAAAATAACTGGGATAGGGGAAAAGAGAAAAGAAGGAAGGGAAAGGAAAAAGATACAAATTTCTTTATATGTACATGAAATAGCTAAGATGATTATACTAATAATTGTATTAGTTCTTGGAAATGAACAGTTAATACTCATGATTAGATCAATTTTGCATGTCTATATCTGGTAATTTAAGTAACTCTTTTAAAAATAACAATGTGCAATATTACAACCATTGTTAAATTCCTATGATCTTGTTTTGAAAGCCTAAATTATTATTATTTTGGAGTTTTTATTGTTCTTGTTGTTGTATGTATGTCTTTTGTCTTTTTTATTTTCAGTGATTTTTTTTTTGTCTTTAAAATAATAAAGTACAAGAATGATATATGTCAGCAAAAAAGCAGGAACTAACACAAAAGTCATAAAGAGACTATTTACAGAAGTAATAGCTGAGAACTTTCCAAGCATGGGGGAAAAAATCTGACATACAGAGAAGTGAAGCATACAGAACTCCAACTAGCTAAGATGATTTTACCACTAATAAAATATCTAACTAAAATAAATCTACACCCAGACATATAATTGAGGACAAGAACAGAATATTAAAGGCTTATAAAGAAAAACCCATCAGAATCACAACAGACTTCTCAACACAAACCATCAAGTTAAGAAGAGCTTGGAGTGAAGTATTTTAAATCCTGAAAGAAAACAACTTCCAATTTGGATTGATGCACCCTGCAAATCTATCCTTCAGATTTGATGGAGAAATAAAATAGTTCCATGATAAAGAACAACTGAAGGAATTCGTGACAACCAAACCAAGCCTACAAAGAGTACTGAAGGATATTCTAAATGTGAAAGTACAATCTTGTGTCCTGATATGACCTCATTAGTTATTGAATAGTAATTGCATTCTTCAGAAAAAGTCTCATGTTCACCTTGTAGTTTCTCTGATTAAGACTTGAGATCACACAGTTTTCAAAGGTTTTGTTTCTTTCAGAGGAAATGGTATTTAGAAACTAAAATGTGGGGCCAGAGATTTAGCTCAGTGGCATAAGTGCCTGCTTGGCAAGCACGAGATTGTGAGTTTGATTCCTGGTACCAATAAATAAATAAATAAATAAATAGAAAAAAGATCTAAATTCTGGGTTTACTCACTACTACTAGGGTATCTGTCATTTCTTCTAGGCCCTTTCATATATAGAATGAAGGAATAATAACTCCTTACTGGTATTGGCAATTCAAATTTATTAAACAAATATAAAATAACTTCTCTTATTTTTCAATAAAAATCTCATTTTCTGTCATTAATGTATGTAGGCATTCACTTTAGTACATATACACATATATATATATATGTGTATATGAAATGGTAGTGTTGATAATATAATTTTGAAACTAGCAACAAATCTGTTCAGAACATTTACTGTTCTCTGCAGTTCTTTTTATCCTTAGGACATCGTAGAAATGATGCATTATCAAGAACACAGCTCAAAAGTTACCTAATCTGAATGCGTTACAAATTATTTTGGTATTTTGTTTGGTTCCAGTACACTTCCAAAGTTAGTGTTGTCTTTCTTCCCATTACTTCTGGTATAATTTTTATTTTTGAATATATAAAAACTTATATGACCCCCAAATTGAAAGTTGTATAGAAAAGTACACTCACAAAAGTCTCCCTCCCAATGCCAGGTGTGGTGATACACATCTGTAAACCCAACACTCTGGAGGCAGAGGCAGGAGGACTGTTGCATGTTCGAGGCCAGCCTGGGTTACACAGTTCAAAGCTAGCAACTACAAACAGTCAGTCACCTTATATTCAACACAGGGACCAAACAATTTATATGGAAGAAAGACATCCTCTTTAATAAGTAGTGCTGGAAAAATTGCCTTTCCATATGCCAAAAACTAAAATTAGAACCATGTCTAGCACCATGCAGTAAACTAAAATCAAAATGGATCAAAGATCTAAATAATGAAACAGAAATGCTAAATCATCTAAAAGACAAAGTAAAGACAAATCTTGACAACATAGGGGTAGACAGAGAATTAAAACAAAAATCAAACTACACAGAAAATACTTCCCAGAATTAAAAACTGGGATCTAGTCTTATCAAAAAGTTTTTTTTTTATTTTAAAGAGGGTAAAATTAAACACAACAAAACAAAACATAAGAAAGCAATGTAAGAGGCATAAATTTCTAAGCAAGAAAATCAGAGATCTTCACTATCTATTATATTCTCGTTTTCTTCCAAATAGTTGTCCATATCTTCACATACAGAGAATTCATATGAAGCAACATAGCATAGAACTGATCTGAACAAGATGAGAAAGGCATTTTAGGTCTTCAAGATCAGACAATAGGGAAGTCAACAATGGCTGTCATAGTGTCTCTCATTCTCTTCAAAATAGCTGTCCTTACCTTCATGTATGTTGAAATTAAACAAAACCAAATGGGCTAAAATCACTCCTAACAAAGAATAATAGTATTGCTATATTTCACATCATGACTATGGAATCAGCACTGGGTACTATAGTGTCTCTTTTTCTTTAAAGTAGTTGTTCATTTCATCATGCATTATATGATCAGTTCTCATAAATGTTTTATACATTCTACACATGTATAAGTCTCTACGTGTATTTCTATCCTTTCCGTATTAGAAGCAAAAAAAGCAAAGCAAGACAAAACAAAACATATTCCTATAAAAACATGAAACAAAAAAGTCATATAAAACCAAAGTGCAAAGTGATCTACAATGGTTACTATGCTGTCTTTTGTTATCTTCAATGGAATTGCTTATATAATCAGGTATAGTATAATTGAATATAGCAGTACGTAACAATATGAATAAAAACAAAACATTGTAGACAATATAAAACTTCAAAAGTAATAATCAAACCAGAGTGGGTATCCTAGTGAATCTTGTCATCTTCAGTGTAGTTGGATATACTCTCAGACTTGATACTATCAGTCATAACAGATTTGAGTAAAATCTGTCAATACAAATCAGCAATCAACAAACCAGATTCAACTAAGATCGGTCATGATAAAACAATGTAAATTATGCAGGGCTTCAGATTCAGTTAGTGAAAAATTAAGGATGATTACCATACTATATCCTGCTATTTTGGGGATAGCTGTCTGTGCCTTCAAATCTAGTACAAGTAGACAGACTGGAACAGGATAAATCCATCTAAACAGAGCAATATGAGCAATGTGGGTTTTAAGAGATATCCTGGTATTTATTTTCTCTCTCTAGAATGTGCTTCACTATTCTCTGTTGGATTGGATTGATGGCTGCGAATTCCCCCAGTTCCTCTTTGTCATGGAAGCATCTTGTTTCTCCATTAATTTCTAGAGATGGTTTTCCAGGGCACACCAATCTGGGTTGGAGGTTATTTTCTTTCAGGACTTGGAATATTTCACTTCAAGCTCTTCTTGATTTTGGTTTCCTCCATGCAGATGTACAGTGGAGGTCCCAGCCCCTTTCCTTGTTGGTTATGGTCCTTCTGAAGCTTACTGCCTAGGGATTTTTGCCCTCAGTAGTTTGCTGTTGGTCATTGAGGTGCAAGAAGGGGCAGTGTGTGCTGGCCCCTCTCCTCCAGGCCAGTCAACTTTCAGGGACCTTCACCGTGTTAGGGTGTGCCACACATATAGAATTGGTTTGGGATGATTTATTGGGTCCCAGGCAGGGGTGTGACCTAGGCCAAGCAGATCCCACCAATCTGCTCTGGGAAGAGGGCAACCAACTTAAGTCACTGCTATTTCTTGTTCCTGCCTGTCCTGCCCAATTCCAACATGTCATACTATTGGTCACCCTTTTCCCTGCACTCACCATGGGTTAATGCAGGTCTCCACAGTGGCTCTATTCTTCATTGGGCTCACCGACCTCCAATTTCAGTGCCACCATGGATCCAGTGGGTAAAGGTGGCAAAACCAGGCAGCTCCTGCAAGTCACGGCAGCATGAGTTTGGGTGGCTCCCACGAGAGCGTCATGGCTGCTAATCTTAGCTGCTCCAATGGTAGCCCTGGAACTGTGTTTGACCAGCTCTTTTCCCTTTAGTTTCTTCCTGGGTTAAGAGGATCCATCTCCCTCTTTCTAGACCTCTCCAGGGTGTTTTATTCTGGTGTATGAGTTGTCTCTCTCAGGGAGCCTCTGTATGCTGCTGTTTACTGATCCGCCATCTTTGTGAGAGTATCAAAAAGTTTTTGCATGTCAAAAGAAATCTCTAATAGAGTGAAAAGAAAACCCAAATTGGGAAAATATCTTAGCTAATTGTCTTTCAGACAAAGGAATTCTATCTCAAGCATATAAAGAATTTTTAAAAATCAGGCCCTCAAAATTCAAAGACCCAATCCAAAAATGGGCATCTGAAATGAATACACAATTATCAGACTAAAAAATTAAAATGGCAAATAAATATATAAAAAATGTTCAGCATCATTGGCCATTCAAAAAATGCAAATTAAAACAACATTGAGATTCTATCTCACTCCAGAAAGAATGATTATTATTAAAAATGAACCAATAACAAATGCTGGAGAGGCAGTGGGGAAAAAAGAATTCTTCTTTACTGTTGGTGAGAGTGTAGCCATGTGCAACTACTGTGGAAATCAATGTGGAGATTTCTCAAAAAAAATAGAATTACAGATTCCATTTGACTCACCTGTTCCACTTCTGGGCATTTTCCCCAGAAGACTTGAAACAACATACCACAGTGATATAGGTGCACCTGTGATTATAGTAGCTCAACTTCTAATAGCCAAATCTTGGAAACAACCCTAGTACCCATCAATCAAGGAATAGATAAAAAAAGATGTGGATTTTTCTACAATGGAATACTACTCATCTATAAAGAGAGATTGCATCAAGGCTTTTATAAGTAAGTGGAAGTGACTTGAGCCCATACTCATAAGTGAAATAAATCAAACTCACATGTGTAAATATCCTATTGTCTCCCTAATGTAAGAAACTGAAAGAACAATTTATGATCTATGATCTACAATAAATATTGTGTAAGCGTAAGAAACTGCTCAAAGAGAAAAACTAACTGGGATAGGGGAAAGGAAACAAGAAAGAAGGGAAAAGGAAAAAGACATAAACTTGTATGTATGTATATATATATATATGTATATATATGCACACATAAGATATCTAAAATTATTAAACTACTAACTGCATTAGTTCTTGTACAAAAACATTTAACACTCATGAGTAGATCAATTTTACATGTCTATATTTGGTATTCTAAGTAGCCCTTTTGAATGTAACAATATGCAATATTAAAACCATTGTTAAATCCTTATTATCTTGTTTTCAAAACCTATACCATTATTGTTTTGGGTTTGTTGTTTGTTTTGCTTTTCTTTTGTGCATCTTTTTTATCTTAAATAATTTTAAACAATATTATGCTTATTCTGATATGGTAAACTCAAAATACAAACATTGAAATCAGTAAGTGACTAGTTATATTTTTCTTTCATGCATTAGGCTGATAATGTACTATATATTAATGACTTTTTTGGCTATGCTTGTTATACAGTAGCCTAAATTACTTATTTTGCAAATATCTAAAATTAGACATTTATAATCCACTAAGAAATTGACTATGACAGTACAAAAATAAAGAACATTGAGACATTTCATAAGAGAAGAAATTCATATACAACCTTAAAATAGCATCTCTTATCAAATAAGCCAGTTGTCAAGTATGTGCTAAATATTGCTTATCTAAAATGCTTGGTAGCAGGAGTGTTTAAGGTTTGGATTTTTAAATTGTGGTACATCAGAATATACAAAATAAGATAATGAAGATGGAACTCAACTCACCATGAAATTCATATATTTCATATGCACCTTACACACATAGCGTGAAGGTAATTTATACACTATTTTCATCATGCCTACAGGGTTCTTGTTTTGTTTTTTTATATGCCCCAGACATGAAATAGTTCTGGCCACCAACACAGGCATTGAGCTTGAATGAACAAAGGGCTGTCACCTTCTTTGCCCCTGGCTGATATAAGAACAATGCCATCAGTGAGGTGATCTGTTTTCTGTATTGCTTTGGATTAAACACAGCCATGCTTGTGTTTTGATAGTGACCCATCCCATAAGGACAGATGTGTAATTTTTAGCTTGTGGAATCATATAAGCACTCAAACATTTTTGATTTTGGAAAATTTAAGATTTAAAATTTTTAGATTAGAGATGTTCAATTTGCGTGTGAGAAAAATAAGTATATTAATATACTGTCAATGGTAATATAAATTGGCCTAACCTTTTAATGATGTGAATTTTTATATATCTAAAATTTGTACCTTTTGACTCACAGTATTCTATTTCCAGGAGTCTATCCATAGGTAATAATCAAATTTAAGTATAGCTAGTCATTATTGAAGTATTTCATATTGCCCATAATTGGAAACAATATCTCTCCAGTTAAAAATGATCAAATGTATTATGGTAAAGTCAACTCTGATTAAATATCACAGCACCAATAAAAGTCATGTTTTCAAAGAATAGCAAAAGTTTTGGGAAAAGTCCATGAAACGATATTAAATGAAAGCAGGAAACAAAAGACTACACGAGTATGATTCCAATGCTATTTAAAACAAAAGCAGCATTTTTACCAGCATAACAAAAGCTTGGAAGAAATACATCACTATAGTATGAGGCTACTGATAATATACATACTTTGATTCTCTTTATGGATTTTACAAGAAAATTGCCTGAAAAAGAGACTAATATAGGCTTGCTTAATAGAAATGCTAAATACTAGGTGGTCTGTCCTACTTTCCCCTCATTCCCACAAAGAAAGGGAAATGAAAAAAAGCAAGTCCTATTACCATGAACACTGGAACATATACAGCTGTTATTTTCCTATCCTGATATATGGCCAACAGTAACATAGCTTTATTTATTGTTATAATAAATTATCTACAGGAATATTATTGCTCAGCAAAGAGATGAATTGTTGCTATCTTACTTCTTTTATTCTTTTATCGAATAGTAATTATCACTTAACTCATTCATCTTAAAAATCTCAATCACTCCCACCAGGAAAAACAAAAATAAAAATACTCAAAATATTTACTATTCACTACTAGAAGAAAATAAAATAATCCAGGGTTAAGTAGAGAAAAAGGATAAAAACAGGAATATGGTATCCTTTTTACTTACTCTGCTGGGACCACACTTATATTCAACATAGAAGAACTACATATCAGCTCTGCTTCATGTCTAAATCTGCACGTATTTGTGCATCAAAATTCTATTATAATAAAACTATTTTGAATTTTGAAATTGCAGTATCAATTTAGTTACAAGAAACTGTATTTTTTCAACTTCTGCTCATCTCTGTGATCACAGGGAGATGACAGCATGGATAATCCCAAACTAATTTATATTTGTTTTTGTTCAATTTCATAGTCACCCAAAGTAGAGAATGGTAGAACTTTTATAGCTAGAAGGGACTTATAGATCGTTCATTCTATCTTTGACATTTGGCAAAAGTAGGAGCTAAGACCCAAAGAGATTAAGTGACTAAAACTAAATTATAATGCTTCCTCAACAGAAATATCCTATCCCTTTATAATTAAAAAAGCTGATAATACGTATGTAGATAATGAGCTTTCTGTATATAACTGGATGAAGAGCTTACTGAGGAACAGTCACTGCTTATATATGTCATCCACTTGCATCTACTCAGATCCTGGCCACAATTCTACTTATAATTATCTGATAGAAAGCACAATAGTAGTTCCCACAATTGGAGGTTCCTCTTAACATTACTGCCATGGAGTGGGAGCGGGGAAAAGAAAACTCAAATTAGTTGCTAAGACAACAGGAAAAGATTGAGAAAATAAACCCTAGAATTAGAGAATAGTAAAGGAGGAGCAATTCTATCTTATGGTCAAATTAATTTTCAGAATCTCAATTTTAACTGGAGCCTCAGCTGTATTTCCCCATAATATAACACATTTACATCATAGTTAAATAGTATTCTGTGGGAGACCTAATGGCTACATTTAACAAACTTCCTATGGGAAAATATATATTAGTCTCATTGTTTAAGTAACAACATATTAAAGCTATAGCCAACTCATAGATGAGTGATTGCCTGGATAGCCCTGTTAGACAAATTTTAACTAGTACATAAATAAATATGTAAAAAGAAAGATAACTAGCTAATGATGGAGTGAACAGAAAAGTCAGGAACATATTTAATTTAATTATACAAACAAGGAAACAAAAACCCTGAAAATATCACAAGGAGTGATTTTTCCCATCTTCCTGAGAGTAACCACAAAAAAACTCATAGTCATATCTGTCTGTAAATGTTTCCTGCCTTATAACCAAATCCAACAGCTTTATAACTAAAGGAAGGTAAGGAGCACAGTAAGGCAGGAAAAGGTAACAGAAAGACTGGTAAAATGCTAACTTCATAAAAATTTTGTTTGTCTACATATATAGAAGAGTAAACATGCTGGGTCAGAAGTCTCAGCAGGACTTCTGGTAACCAGGAATGTCATTGAGATTTTAGGACATTTGTCTCAGCTGAGCATCTATATTTTCTGCTTTTCTATAACTCCAAAGGTAGATAAAATAATATTTTTTTAAAAAGGGTTTTCCACATCCTTTGTAACCAATGAAGATGATATTGACAGTTGTATTTGTCCCAACGATCTTACCTTCTCTCTGTGTCTCAGTTAAAGCCGAGGTCACATTTTCATGGGTGCAGTGTTTGCAATCCTATTACCACCATATTCTAAGAAGACTATGAAGGTGAAGGCTTTTAACCATCTTCTCATTTTTATTGAATTCTATTTATTTACTGTCTAATACTCTGGTGAACTCTGAAGCAGAGAACATTTTTTAAGTAGTAAAATACACCCGTAAGACATTTAAATATGCAAGAGAATTTAATTTTTAACAGAATACAATAAATGCTGAAATGTCAAAGATAATTTGTTTCATTGCTGAGACAAAATTACCAACACCCCAAATTAAAAGGAAAAAAGTTTATTTAGCTCACAGTTTGTAGGGGTTTCAGTACATAACTGGGTGGCTCCAAGGCAGGATGACTTCAGAAAGGAAAACAATTTATGGCAGTGGAAGATAGCAAATCAACAAGAATAAAAAAGGAAGAAACATGTCTCTTTTGCCCCTTTTATCTTTTCCAGAATGCTGCAACTAGAGTGGTGCCAATTCAATCAGTGGATTGATCCAACAATCATCCACCCTTAATTGCGGCACCTTTAGTCTTATCATTGACCCATGAATTAATCATAAACTCTAGACTCAGCTACCTCCAAAAATGTCCCATCTAAAAGCACATGAGGCTTTGGGGGGGCATCTAGACACAGCCCATAACATTCTGCCACTGGATCCCCAGACGCATGTATATTCCTTTAGTAAAAAACATTTAATGGTCCATTTGTAAGAATTGCTGAAGTTCTAACAGTTTCAGCACTGGTGAATAGTCCAAGTGACAAGTCTTCTCTGAGATTTAAAGTAAACTTTTAGCTGTGAGTCCCTGTACAAATGAAAATAAAGTTAAACACTTCCAACATTCAATGGCACAAGATAAACATTTCCATTACAAAAGTTACAAACAGAGAGATTCAAAGGAATGGGGCCCAGTTGAGTCCAAAATCCAACAGAGAAAACTTCAAATTCTATAGTTCCATGTACAGCATTCAAAGCAATCTTTAGCAAGATATGAACTCCAAAGGGCTTGGTTGGTCCTGCCCCTATGGCACCTCCGATGGTTGTAGCTCTCCTGGCTTTTCTCTTGGGCCCACACTGTTCTCTCTTTGCAGTTTTCCTTAAGCAATCTACTTTCCTGGCTTCTTCAAGCTTATAGGGTTTCTACACCTTTGGCTTCATGTTCACAGCTTCACACATTGCCCTTTCAGCAGCACACTGCTTAGCGTCCCAGACTTTCTGAAATCTGGGTCGAAGCTTTCTTAATCCTACAACTCTTGTATTCTGCATGTGCCATGTGGCTGCATTCTAAGCACCACATGGAAGATGCCAAGGTCTGCTGCCCACTGGAGTAATAACCAGATTTCCCTCTCTTTTGGTTATGGAGTTCAAGTGCCTGGTTTGCTGAGCACTCTGCATCCAATTCTGAGGAACAAATTCTCCAGGCTGCCATCATTCTGGAACATGGTACACTGGAGCTTTCTTCTCAAAGAAAAATCTTTCAATGTGCAATTTTGAGGCTGCAAAGTGTGGAGTTCTGCTGCTTTTTGTGATGCCTGAAGATTATATTTTCTCTTCTACTGTTCCCTTTCAGCAACCTAGGTCTCCTCAGCTCTACCTTTGCAGTCTACAGCTTTACTGGAGCTTTCTTTATGGCCAAACTTACAGTGTTTTAAATAATTCTACCAGATTCTTTGCTCTTTATTTTCAACATAAATCTGGCTAACATTCCCTAACAGTAGCCATGCCACCATCTCAACATTAGACTGCCTGGAAATTTCTACTGTCAGATTAATCAATCTGCCACCCTTAATCTCAGTATCAGGTAAAGTCTCTGGACATGAGTAAAATGCAGACAAACTTTCTGCCAAGCCATAACACACATCATCTGGAATCCAATAGCTAATGAAGTCCTTCTTTTCATCAGAAATCTCTTGAGCCCGGTCTTTACTGGCTTTCTGGACGTCTAAACTCTGGCCAGAATCTCCCATACAGAGTAGCCTAAGATGTCCCAGTTCTTCTTTTTTCAATTGACGTCTCCAAATCATTCCAAACTCTTCCCACAAACCATTCTCAAAGGCACCTAACCCATATGGTCAGGTGTAGTCATAGCAATAGCCCCATGCTGTGGTACAAAATTCTGTCTTATTTACTTTTCTTGTGGCTGAGACAACATACCCAACACCCAAGGTCAAAGGAGAAAAGTTTATTTAGCTAACAATTTGTAGAGGTTTCAGTCTACAATCAGCTGGCTCCAACGCAGGGTTGCACATGGCAATGGGGCAATAGTTCATTGCGGTGGAAAACAACAATAGCAACAAGAGAGAGAAAGAGACAAGCCCTTTTCTCTTCCTTATATTGTATTCAGTCTATAGGGATTAGTCTATAGGGATTGGTGCCAATGTAATCAGGGGACTGATCCAACAGTCATTCCTATTAATTAATCCCAGTACCCTTAATCCCAGCACTGCATCCCCAACCTCTCAATCACACACTCTATAGATTTAGCCACCTCTGAAAAAGGCCCATCTAATACTGCATGAGGTTTTGAGGGGCCATCTAGTCTCAAACCATAATAGATAGTGAATATATAAATTTTCTAAGTAAAACTTTATATAAATATACTTGATAAAAGATGTTTTGAGAAACGAGCTTTACAATAAGAGGAAGATAAAAATAAGTTTACAATCAATTGATAAGCAGCTAAATTAATTTCAATTCCCAAAGCATTTACTGTAAATACACATGTATACATAAATTTAGCTTAATCAATGAACATATTTATAAGAATGCAGCCAGGAGATTTACATCCTTAATGTCTACAAAAATTTAAACACTTGCTTTTTGGTTTTTCTGTTCTTTTTTTTCTCTTTAAAATTTAAAGAAAAACTAAATTAATCTTTCTGCTAACTACTGCTTTTGTATGACAATTTTTATAAGTTGCTTAAATTACTATTTTTAGTGAAAGTCTTATCGTAATATAAATTTAAATACAAAAACACTGGAAAGAAAATCATGTTTGAAACATTTTGCAAACTAGAGTTAGGATCTTACAACCAAAACTGTAACTCTATGTTTTCAAAGCATAATAAAATGCATGAAAGCAAAAAAAAATGAAAGGAAGAAAAAGATGAATGAAAGAATAAAAGAAAGAAAGAAAATACATAGACTAACAAAAGTTGCAACACAAAAGCAAAACAGAACTAGGGACAGTACTGGTAAATTGTATTTACCACATTAAAAATCCCTGCAAAAAGTATAACTAATAAGCTTTACAAAACAGATAAGCTCAGCCAGATGCAGTAATATGTGCCTGTAGTCTCAGCTACTCAGGAAGCTGAGGTAAGAGGATCAGTTGAGCCCAGGAGTTCAGGTCCAATCTGGGCAACATAGGAAAGTCTCATCTTAAAAAAAATAGAAAACTCAGTTTTGACTCTAGTAAGCTATTGATAAAATGAGCCTGTTTAGTATCAACTTGGATTATGTAATATATTTACACAGAGTTTCTTAGCACTTTTTAAATTGGTCACATTAACAAATCTTAGATTTAGTGAGATAAAGTAACTGCAGGAATATTGACAATAGAGTGATATAAGTAAAGAATGAATAGTACACAAATCAAATATATCTAGAGTGTGACACTGACAAAATCATCCCAATTTTGAAGGCTATATAGTTCATCCTGAGATTAACAAGTTGTTTTTAAAATAGGAAAAAATTTACCACTAAAGCATGCACATGAGCATTAGGTTTAGAAGAGTCAAATATAAATAATAAGAGATCATATATATTCCACAATGCTATGACACCATACACATAAAATTTGTATTTCTAATTTAACAATAAACTTGACAAACATAAAAACTTTACAGCAGACATACATAAGCTTGAGATTAATCACAGTGTACAGAATACTATAAAACAAAATTGCTGGAATGATTTCATTTTCAAACTTGTACAAAATAGTCAAACTAGCTGGTAAATGTCAACTGTAACAACTTGCCTCTACCAATTTTTATTCTCTGCCTTCTGTGTCAATGTTTTTCTTCCTTTTTTGAAATACATTCATAGTGATTGTTAAGTTCTGGCCCATCCCTTAGCCTTCATCAGTTACTTACCTCCTCTCATGCTTCTCATCTGTATGCCACAGATAAACAGGCTCACTTTTGTCCTTCACAGACTCCTCTGCAGGAGTCAGTCGATCTTCTAGTTCTTTCTTCTGAGACAAGATAAAACTTAGTTCTTTTTCTAACCTGAACAAATTAAGGCAATAGAAGGGCCGATGAAAGGAGTCTGTAGTAACAAAATTAATGCTAATAAACAAGGGGAAAAATAAAAAAGTCTTTAATATTTCAATCAAGGAAATCTTAGATACTACCTTTTTTGATCTAGTTTCACTTTTTCCACTCCTTTACGTAAAGCAGTAGTCTTTAAAGAGAAATAAGAAAGAAATAATGTAACTACTTAAATTTACTTATCATTTTCTCAAATATACCTCAAATATGAAATATTTCCTAATTCAGCACAGTTAATACTTAAGAAAAATATTTGGAAATTATTCTCTAACATTGCAATACAAAATTATACAATGCAGGCAAATTAAAATTTCTTACCTTTTCACTATTCTCAATCAGTGTATCATCCCAATCATTGACCTGGGTGGCCTGGTATAAAAAGAGTTTTTCTCGATCTTCTACCTGAAGGCTCCACTTGTTTATCAGACGATCCAGCTGACTAGAAGTCATCACAGGAGTTACTAATGAACTAAAAAATAAAAAGATACGGTATGATCATATAATAAAAACAACCCAGGAGGACTTGTAGAAGTTAGTATGGGAGGAAGTTCTTATATCTGCTTCCTAAAAAACAGTAACAGGTAATGATGATTTTTTTTTTTTTTTTGTCTTTTTCCTTTTTATCGGTACTGGGGATCGAACTCACGACTGCCTACTTGCAAGGCAGGCGCTTATGCCGTGGAGCTAAATCTCCAGCCCCATTAATGATGATTTTAAAACAACCATTCAAACTGTCTGGAAATTATATTAAGGGGAGCAATATATCAAATAAAAATTTATTAAGAATTCTGCCAAATTACTGTAAGAATAACTAAATTCTCTCCCCCCTTAATTCAGCATGATGGAAGCTTCTTAGCTTCCTTCTAGATGAGTATGGCCAAGAAGATAGGATTCTCTTTCCCCTTCTCTAGCTATCATTCAAAGTGATACGTTTCCTTTATGAGTAATATGGGTGGGGAAATATGCATCTCCCGTCAAGAAAAACCATAAGGAGTTCCAATTCACATGCCAGGTGGCATCAAAAAGCTTGATAATCCAATTGATCTTTAATGCACTGGTTGCCCTGGTGGGACATTATCAGCAAGGTTCAGTGGAAAGGTAACTAGCAATTTCCTGCCTGACCAAGCAAGTAATGTTCCAATTCCCCACCAAGGAATTATTGGTGGGGTCCAATAAATTTAAATCCTACCTAGAAGTAACATGAGGTCATGTGAGGCAAGGTTACACACCACTGGACTTCACTCATGCTCTGGTGTCAGTGGGATCAAGCAGAAAATCTAAACTTTTGTATCCACTGTGTTCATTAAAGCTGAACAAGGTAATGCACATTGAGAATAGTAAAGTCTCCAATTTCCATCATCCTAGGAGTCAGTAAGGCTTAGTGAGTAGTTTGACCTCCACAGTCACTGGGAAAACCAAGACTCATACAGGAGTGGAAAAAGCAGGGTTAGTCATTACTTCTTCCCATTATTGAGCTCAGTGAGAGCAGGGCCAAAATGAGAGCCACTCCTCCATGTCAACTCAGCACCAATTAGGTTTAATGAAGTGGCATGTGGCAGAAGCTGATATCCTGCTCACTTCCTCCCTTCCTTTATGTCCTAGGTGTGATAATATGAAATTCCACCTCTCCCTGCACCTATTAAGCCATACAAGTCAGATCTGAGGTCACCAGATCTGAGTTTACATCTCCACTGAGAAGCAATAAAGTACAATGAAGCAGTGAGTCAGGGGAGTTAAGGGAGGAGCTGAATTTCTAGACCACCCATGTTTGCTGAAGCAATGTGAGTCAGTGCTTTGTTTTTTTGATGAGATTGTGTAGACAAGGCCATTGATAATCTAAACAAAAACACACCCATCCCTTGCAACATATCTGAACTAAAAGGACTATGTAATGAAAAACAGGTATAAATAAGACCAAATGCTCCAAACATCATACATAAAATGTCCAGGATACAATAAAAATATGTAATTATGAAGACCATGAAAGGTACAACTTTAAAGAGAAAAGACAATCAACCCAGATGCCAATATTAATATGTTGGAACTATCTGAAAAAAACTTTTAAACAACATTCCAAAATAGCCCTTACAAGCCCTTTGAATTTTCCTGAAACAAATGAAAAAATAGAAACTCACTGCAAAGAAATAAAGGTCATAAAAAAGAATCAAATGGGTAAAATGAAAATAATAAACTTATTTGAATGATTCTGTACTAGAGTGAAATTGTGAGAGGATACAAAAAGTAAATTTCAGTACCTGTAATTAGAATTTATAGAACAAAGAGAAAACAGGAAGAAATAAATTTTTTTAAAAACTCAGAGACCTGAAGGAGAGTAATAAGAAGTAACATTTATAAAATAAAAGTTCTAGAAGGACAAAAAGAGAGAATAGGCCTGAAATATATTTTTAAAAAAATAAAAAGATTGAAAAATTATCAAAATTTGGCAAAAGATACAAATTCACAGGTTCAAGAAGTTTAAACAACTCTAAACTGAATAATTCAAAGAAACTCATGCTAAGGCACAAAGTAATTACCTTTCTGAAAGATAAAGACAAAAGGAAATGTTGGAAGCAAGTAGAGTCACTTAACATGACGTATTCTTCTACACGGTAGCACACACTTGTAATCCCAGCAGTCAGGAAGCTAAGGCAAAAGGATCCTGAATTTGAGGCCAGCCTGAGCTACAAAGAGACTATATCAAACAAACAAAGAAACAAACAAATGAGATGACAATCTGAATGACAATAGATTTCTCATCTGAAATCATGGAGGCTAGAAGGAAGTAAAATAACATTTCTCAAGCACTGAAAGAAAAAAAAATGTGTCTACAAGTACTGTTATATGCTTTGGAGACAGATGAAAAAGAAATAAAGGCATTTTCATACAAAGTAAAATTGGAATAATTCATTGCTAAAAGACCTTCCCTTGAATATTAGCTAAACAGAGAGGAAAGAAAACAGAAGACTTGGAAGTAGCGTATAAAGGAAAAAAAGTCAAAATAGATGAAAAGAAGGGTAAAGATACAATACTATTTCCTATTTATTTCTTAGATCATATCAAATGATTGAAACAAAAATTATAACTCCATATGTGCTTAAAAATAAGGACAGTAAATGGAACTTAATAGAAATAAAGTTTCTACGCTTTATCAGATGAGATTGGGCGTGTTCAGGGTGGTATGTTCTAGACTCTGTTTCATCACAAGTGGTAAAGTATCAGTATGACTGTATGCATGACTAGACTACATATGTATACTGTCATATTTAAAGTAGCCAGTAAGAAAATGATACAGAGCAATATACTCAAAAATACTCTAAGGAGAGCAAGGTGGAATGTTTAAAAATATTTAAGCAATCCACCGAATGGTAAGAAAAAAGAAATGGAAGAACAAATATCAAAGGTAAAAAAACAAGTAAAATAGTAGATCTAAGTCCTAACTCATTAGTAATTACTTTAAACATAAATGTGTTACATATATGAATTAAAAGATAGAGATTGTCAGAATGGATTAAAAAGTTCAACAATATGCTATCTACAAAACTCACTTCCAAAATAAAGATATAGATAGAGTGAAAGTAAAAGAAAATTATATAAAATTAATTTTCAAAAAGGAATGGCTATAGTAATACCAGATAAAGTAGACTACATAGCTAAGAGATTTCCCCTAATCAAAGAGGATCATTACATAATGATAAAGGAATCAAGGCACAAAGGAAGGATAACAACTTTAAATGTAGAAGCAACCAAACAACAGAGCCTCAAGATATATAAAAAATTAATATAACTAAAGAGAAGAATAATAGTTGGAAACTTCATAAAACCACTCTCCACAACTGAAAGAGCTACTAGACAGAAAAGCAAAAAAGGTACATATGGTAAAATAATGAAATAAAGCAACAGAGTCTCACATATATATAACAGTCTGTCTAACAGCAGAAAACAGAACTTTAAAACAGTGGAATCTTAACAAAGATAGGCCATTTCTTACCCATAAAGCAAAGATAAATAAAAAAACAGTGAATTCACACTGGTTATATTCTGATTATAACACAATCAAACTAGAAATCACTCCAGAAAGATAACAAGAAAATCCATAATTACTTGAAAATTAAACAGCATGCTTCTAAATAATCCATGGGTGAAGGAGGATTTTCAAAGAAAATTTGTAAATATTTAGAAGTGAAATAAAAACATGAGAATTAAAACAGGAAAACTTTATAGAATAATCAATTAAACAAAAGATGGCCCATTTGGAAAAGATCAACAAAACTGATACAAGAAACAAACTCCCAGTATTATCAATGAAGCAAGAATGTCTCCACAACTATTAAAAGTATAATAAAGGAATACTATAAACAATTTTATGTTCATAAATTTAACATGAAAAATGAACCAAATCTCTCTTTCCCATCTTGCTAGATGGCAACCAAAAACTAAGAAGCCAAATAATAAAGAGAAGAAACTTGAAGTCAAGAAGGTTGATGCCACTGATACTGGTAAAAAGGGTAATGCGGAGGCTAAAATGTCCAAGAAAGGGCAGCCCCACTGCAGCCAAAAACCTGTCCTGTTAGAGGAATTGGTAGATACCCCCAATGTGCTATGTAGTCCATAAAGGCTTTGTACAAGAGAAAGTATACAGCTGCTAAATCCAAAGTGGAGAAGAAAAAGAAGGAGAAAGTTCTTACCACTATCAGAAAACCAGTGGGTGGTTACAAGAATGGTGGTACCTGGGTGGGTAAGCTTCAAAAAACGCCTAGATACTGCTCTACCAAAGATATGCCCTGACAGCTGTTGAACTAAGGCAAAAAACATTTCAGTTAGCATGTGAGGAAACTGTGAGCTAGCATTACTCCCAGGACCATCTTAATCATCCTCACTGGGTTCCACAAAGGGAAGAGAATGGTTTTCCTGAAGCAGTTGGCCAGTGGCTTGCTGCTTGTGACTGGGCCTCTTAACCTTAATTGCATTCCTCTGCATAGAATGCGTAATATCACTGTTATCTCCACAAAAATTGATATCAGCAATGTGAAAATCTCCAAACACTTCACTGATGCTTACTTCAAGAAGAAGTTTCCAAAGCCCAAACACCAGGAGGGAGAGATCTGCAAAACTGAGAAAGAGGGATATCAGATTTCAGAGAAATACAAGGTCAGGTAGAAGGTGGACTCACAGATTTTACCAAAATCAAAGGTGTTCCTTGGCTCTGGGGCTACATGAGATCCATTTTTGCTCTGACAAATGGAGATTACAAATTTGTGTTCTAAGTTTATTACCAAGAATCTAATTAAATAACTGATAATATTAAACAAAAGAGCCAATTTCTCAAAAACTACACAGTACTGCAACTCACTGAAGATGAAATAGATAACCTCTATAATACCAGAAATAGTATAAAAATGTATTTGTAAGTAAAAGATCCTGTAAAAGAATAATCCGGGCCCAGAGTTTGTCACTGAAGAATTTCATCAG